GACAGCAACTTGTCTGTTCCCCTTCCCCCAATTTCCCAGCTCTGTTCCCATCCCCCCAATCCCCCAATAAAAATCTTTTAAAAAAAAAAGAGTTTGAGCTCTGAACAACAGTGGTTCGATTCCCGGCCCGAACTGAGCAGCCACTGAGCTGCCAACAGGTGGCAGGATGGCTCAGCTTTAAAAAAAAGAGGGAAAAAAATTGTTGGCAAGGATGTGGAGAAAATAGAACTCTTGTGTATTCCTGGTGGGAATGTAAATGGTGCAGCTGCAGTAGTAAACATTTTAGAAGTTACTCAAAAAGTTAAATATAGAATTACCATAAGACCCAGCAATTCCACGCCTAGGCATATACCTACCCAAAGAACTGAAAACAAGTGTTCAAACAAAAACTTCTATAGGAATCTTCATGGCATCACTAATCACAATAGCTAAAAGTGGAAACAACACAAATATTCATAAACTGATAAATGAATAAACAAAATGTGGTTTATCCATACACTGGGTATACTAAAGGTCATACATATCCTATGATTCCATTTATATGAAATATCCAGAATTGGCAAATCCAAAGATACAGAAAGCAGATTAGTTTCCAGAGGCTGGGTGATGGGAAAATCTGTAGTGATGCTCACTCATCAGGTATACAGTCTCCTTTTGGGTGACGAAAATGTTTTGGAACTAGATAGAGGTGATGATTGCACAGCACTGTGAATATACTGAATGGCACACTTTAACATAGTTAATTCTGTGTCATATAAAATACAGTATACATTTTTCCTGCCTTCTTAAGCTAAATATATTGGAGCAAATTTTTTTCTACATGACTGGAGACATAATTTTGAATATCAATCTGTAGTGATAAGTCTAGGGCTTCTGAGGGATTCTCAGACCATTAAATGTTTTTAAATCACTGCATCTGATTTCCAATTTTTCCACCTTATCCATGGTCTGCTATCTCTTTGTGATGCTGTCTATGTGCTTGCCTTAATGTTTTTTATAATTTAGTTTGGGCTTTAAAAACAGATGGCCTATCTTGTTATAAATGAATGTACAATGTAAGAAAACAGTCTAAAAGACTAAGAGACTTTTCTAAAAAATTATGAGTTTTAATACAAAAATTTTGTAGCATCTATCGTGGCTACTTACTGTGAACAAATCTCAGAGTTACAGGCCTGGTACTGCAGCAGTCCATGAAATTAGACATTATCAAAAGTCCACTGAAATTGATTCCCAAACAACGATTTCAGCATTTGGTGTGAGAAATTGCTCAGAGTGTCAAACAGATCTGCGTTTCCATAGTGCGGCAGTTGGTACTTTGCAGGGTGCAGGTGAGGCCTGGCTGGCTGGCCTTTTTTGAAGACACCAGCCTGTGTGCTATCCATGCCACATGTGTACAATGATTCCAAAAGACATTCAACTAGGATGCCACACGTGGGGAATGTGCTTGAGAGAATCCCCTATATAGAAAAAAATTGCATCCTCCAAAAAAACTTTTTTTCTCTTCTTGTTTGGTAGTTCTGAATGTTACACAATTTTTCCCTATAAGGTAAAAAGGTGCCTACTTAAGTATATGATTGTCAGGGGAAAAATAGAAAACAGAAATCAGGTCTTGACCGTTTTTTTCATTTTTATTTGTATGTGAATTTTTAATATAAATGAGGGGACATAAAGTGTGAATGCAAGTCAAAATGTTTCAATGAACAAGTTTCAAGAGTTCGGCTTTATCACAATTATAAATAAACCTGCAATGCCAGAGTTTGGATATTTTACAAACAAGTAAATTTCTTAATGACAGCAACGAAGTGGTATTTCTACCATTTTTGTCATACAGTATTTTTATCATTCACTATACTATTCTGAGTTTTCCTATATGCAAGTACATGTTTTTAATGTTTGTCTTCTGTGCTATTATTATAACTTTGCTATGAAAATACATTAAACTTGGGCCAGTCAAGTGGCGCATTGGTTAGGAGTTGGCTTGGGGCACCAGCTCTGAGCAGCAGGGTCCCGGTTCGGATCCCACATGAGGGCCAGTGATGCTGCACCCTCTACGGCTAAGATGGTGAACAACAGCTCGACTTGGAGCTGGGCTGCCGTGAGTCGCCAGCGATGGCGTAGGCTGCAGTGGCTGGCTGGCAGCGGACACATGCTTTCGTGAGCTGCCGTGAGCCACCGTGAGCAGGCCCTTCAATGCCCAGTGAGCAACTGCCTCACCTGGGAATAGCGCAATCATAATACCAACATGGGCCAGTTAAGCGACGTCCTCCACAACTAGACTGAAGAACAAAAGGACAGCAACTTGTCTGTTCCCCTTCCCCGATTCCCCAATGCTGTTTCCCTTCCCCAATTCTCCAATAAAATCTTTAAAAAGAAAGAAAATACATTAAACTATTTTTTAAACGGTGGTTATACTAGGTGACTTTTAAGGTCCTTCTAATTCCAAAATTCTGTATGAGTCTTCCAATGTTTCTTGAAGGCTCAGCATTCTCTTTGCTTTTATTATCAAATTTACAAAGAAACTGCAAAATATTTACATAAAAATATTCATTAACCCAAAATATGAAATAGAAATGATTAAGTCATATAATAGGGAGGATGAAAAATGTGTTAAATAGATTTCTTAAACATGTTAAAAACCATGCTAATAGTTAAATATCTCAAATGGAAAGCTTTCCAGGATATGTTACATGGTCTAAAAATATGA